GAGGGTTGTGAGAACCGAGCTAATAAGAAGGACAAAAAAAATATCCAGCTGCAATCAAGTGATAATTCCAGGTGGATTTTCCTCCTAACATCTCAGTTCTTGCTTATTAAAAAGCAAATGAGAGGTTTTTTTAAAAATGTATTATTTGCAGCATCTGGAGATTGAGACGGCAGGAAATCTGAAAATGTGTGACATTTAATTGGGGTGGAAAGCAGGCTGTTAATCATAGTGGGCCGGACGAGTGAGCCCCACCACTTCCCTTGCTCTGCTGTGGCTCTCGCGCTCCGCCACCGGCTCTGGCACAGCCCTTCCCTGCCTGCCATCGGCGCCCGGCCCAGCCTGGCCCTGCAGCTGGAGGCTTCCTTAATGAACCCACCGCCTAACAGCTGGGAATAGCTTGCCAGGGGGCTGCAAAGGCACGGACACGTGTGTGTTGCATGCCTGGGAACTCTTTGCCCTGCACCGCCTGGCTGCAGGTTGCAGGCAGGTACACAATGAATTGAACTAATTGTCTCCTGCAAAACCCCACTCCCCTTTCACTTCTCTTTATTCCCTCTGGGAGGGGCCATTCACCATCCACCTGTGCCTTTACTCCCAAGTCGACCCTTGTTCCTTAACTGTTCCCTTCTCCTGGCAGCTCTGTGCATGCGCACACTGGGAACAGGCTCCAGCTGTTCTTCTGCCCCACTGATCTCCGACTCCAAAGGCAGCTGATAACTGTCAGACTGTCCTGGCCCCATCTCTGCCTCTGATGCAGAGCCCTCAGAGCCTTCCCCAGACTCCAGGACTGGCCCATGTTCCTCCCCAACCTCCTCACTGTCCGCGTCTGCCGTCAGCTCTACTGGCCTCTGGCGGGCCACAACAGTACATAGGTTGAACACACCTGGCTGGAGCTGATGGAAGTTCTCTAGCCCAGCTGTCCCCAACCTTTTAGGCACCAGGGTCTGGTTCTGTGGAGAGACGTTTCTCAGTGGACTGGTGGGAACGTGGTTTCACATGATGCCTGCATTCCTTGGAAGCGGCTTTGCTTGTTTGCATGGCACGCTTTCTGGCATGCCACAACTCAATGCCGGTCCATGAACCAGCAGCTGGGGACACCTGGACTAACCTATAAGGAAGGGCTGGTGCCAGGGGTAGGCTGCAGGGGGCTCACAGGGGCTCGGGAGAGCCCCCACTAACCTCAGAAAGACAAGCAGCCAGGGAAAGCTCTTAATAGGCTTAATTGAACTTCTGGGCATTCAGCCAAGAGCATTTCACATCTTGTAAAAGTGTTGCAAGCTAGATAAACAATCCACTCAGCGCTTGCCAGGGAGAGGAATTGAGAAAATCAGATCACAGAGCCACTGGCCTCCGAGGGGATTAATTCCCAAATAATAAGAATCACATAACTCACCAGAAACTCCAGTAAGACTCCAAGATCCCTCTCTCAGTCACTGCTAGTAAGCCTGGATTCACCCAATCTTTTATTTAAGTATTAAATGCACAAAATAATAAACAACTTTTTGGTATATATCTTTTTTTAAGGTAATTAGGGCAAAGAAGTGACGTGGAGTTGGACACACCCACCCAGCCATGCCCACATGATCACCCAATCACATGACCACCTAACCACACCCAGCCAGCCAAATGACCAGCCAGTCAGCCATTAGGTCAGAGAGCCCCTTGCTTAAAAATGTGAAGCCCACCCCTGGCTGGTGCTAGCTGCCTTCCTGCGTTTCCCCCCTGCAGACATTCTAGAATGAGTGGTCCTGGGTGCTCTCGGAGCTCGCTTGCTTTCTTGCAGACGTTTCGTGACCCAAACTAGGGAACGTCATCAGTGCAAATCAGTGCAATTCAGTGCAATGTTCTGTCACTTGTCGCACTGACAGGCTAGCCACTGAATATAAACTGACAGCAAACTGCACTCCTTAATCGCACTGATGATGTTACCTAGAGCTGAAGAAGCTTCTTGGATAAGAAGTGAAACGTCTTCAAAGAAAAAAAGCAGAAAGTCCGGTTGCCTCTTGAAAAAAGCACCTTTGGGGGTAACATTCCTGAAGTTTTATGAATCCAAACTATTTGATTAGCTTCTGCTTTTAAGCAGAAGGAAAAATGAGTTAATTCCATTTAACCTTTTAACTTAATTAACCAGGCGAATGGTGCTGTGCAAACTCAGCTAAGGAATAAAATTATGCATAATTGTAATCTGTTTTAAAACCTTTTCAAACATCCTGCCAGATTTAGGCTGGCTTGCCTTGTCGAATGTGCTGCGCTGGTTTACTGTTTCAGGGTTAAGATGCAGCCTTCAAACTCTCCTTATAGCCTGCTCCTCTGAATATTTCAGTGCGGATCTTGCTTTTAGGAACACAAAAGTGGTTCAGACACAGCCCAGTAATTTTCTTGCTCTGCATGAAAATCTCCCTGATCTTTTCCTGCTTAAAAATGTTCAGAGTGCGACATGCAAAGGGCTTCCAAGCACTTGTGTATCTGTGACATGCCCATGACGAAGATAAAAACACAGTTTATACCAGCACAGAATAAACCTATGAATGTTTGCATCTCCTTCCCACTTTCCCCTAGAACAGCCATGCCATTTAACCTTCTCACATAATTAACCAAGCAAACAGCGCTGTGCAAATTCAGCTAAGGAATAAAATTATGCATAATCATAATCCAGGCTCTCCACCAAAAGGTGGAAATGCTTTTGCAATAGCCAGATTTATCATCCAACCCTCTTAAAGTTGCTGAGGCCAGAAACACTGGCTTAAGTGGTTAACCAAAATATATTAACAGATTAACAGAGTTGGAAGGGACCTAGTAGGTCATCTAGTCCAACCCCTCCCCCATCCTACTACACCATTTCTGACAGATGGCAGCCCAGTCTTTTCGTGAAAGCTTCCAGTGATGAAGCTCCCACAACTTCCAAAAGCAACTTCTACGCCATTGGTTGATTGTTCAGAAAATTCCTCCTTATTTCCAGGTTGAATCTCTCCTTGATCAGTTTCCATCCATTATTCCTTGTCTGGCCTTCGGGTATCTTGGAATATAGCTTGGCCCCCTCCTCTTCTTTGGGGCAGCCCCTCAAATATTGGGAGGCTGCTCTCCTGCCTCCCCTGGTCCTTCTCTTCCCTAGACTAGCCAGGCCCAGTTCCTGCAACCGTTCATCGTATGTTTTAGCCTCCAGTCCCCTCATCATCCTGGTTGCTCTTCTCGACACTTTTTCTAGAGTCTCAACATGATAGGTAGATAGGGTAGGTAGGTAGGTAGATAGATAGATAGATAGATGATAGATAGATAGATGATAGATAGATAGATAGATAGATATAGATTAGATATAGATAGATAGATGATAGATAGATAGATAGATATAGATCTATCTATATCTAATCTATATCTATCTATCTATATCTATCTCTATCTATCTATCTATCTATCTATCTATCTATCTATCTATCTATCTATCTATCATCTATCTATCTATCTATCAAATAGCCAGATAAATCTAGATGCATTCAATAAAACTGGATACATTGTTCTAATTGTGCTCTTATTTATTAACTGCCCCCACTCCACGGGGTTTTGAAATATGACGAACTATCCACAAAATGACCTCAAATATCCCGCCCGTTTTCTTCCCAACATGCTATTCAAAGCTCCTGCAGCTTGAGAAAAATTTTCCAACTTTCCAAGGATTTTTCCTCCTTTTCCCATTAAAAAGATGGGCTTTCTTCTCTCCTCCCCCCCCTTCTCTCTCTCTCCCCCTCCCCCTCTCCCTCCTCTCCTCCCCCCCCCCTCTCTCTTTCTCATACACTTCAAATCCACTTTTCTGCATCTCAACAAGCATGGATTCAGCCCAGATTCCCTCTTTAACTTCGTTTCGTTTTGCTTTTTTGTTTTGTTTTTAAATTGTATTGAGGAGATAGTTCTTCACTAAAACCTCTGTCATCTGTTTCCTATCCGGGGACCCCCGTGGGAATGCAGGGAAAAACTATTATCACCCCTCCTTGGGAGAAAAAACAAACACCCCATCCCCAACCACCCACTTTCATCCCATTTCGCACAATGCCAGGAAGATCAAATCCAGGATCAATTTGGAAAAAAGGGAAGGAAAAGAACGGAGAGAGAGAAGGCAGGCTGGGCCATCCCAGCTCTGGACAATGTCATAATTTTGCCTTGATTTATATCTAAAATCCTCCAATTTGCAAAGAGCTTTAAAAATGGATTTGAAAGTCCCCGATGATGTTAGTTTTTGGAACATGGAAGTGGGTGATAGGGATTTTGGGGTGCAACAAATCCAGGGGGGGATTCTTTTGGCGGGTATGGGAGGAGGGAAGTGGCAAAGGGGGTGCCATGATGAAAAACCAAGCAAGAGAAATGAATCTCGGAAGAAAGCAAAATTAAAAAAAAAATTAAAAAAATAAAGGCAAGATGCAGAGAGAGAGTTGTTTAAAAGAAACGAAAAGAAAAAAAAAAGTTGATTTTTCTCCAAAAAACATTCTTACCTAGTTTTCTTTTTTGTAATTTTTTTTCTTCATGCTAATATCACACGGCCTATTTGTTGATGTAAGTTGACTGAATTCCGTGGTTTGCTCTCTTATTTTTTTTAAAAAAACAAAACAAACAGACAGGGAAAAAAATAAGGAAAAAACAGAGAGAGAGAGAGAGAGAGAGAGAGAGAAAGAATATTTGAGTGTTTTAGCCTGAAGAGGATGGGAAGAGAAATCAGCCAGAGAGGGTGTTACTGCTCTTAATTCTGCTGTTTTATCTGTTTTAATTTTTTTTCTTTCTTTTTCTTTTTTTATGGATTTAAATGCCTTTTTTAATTATCTTTCTTTTTTTTCCTTTGATTATGATTTCTCTAGACAAAAAAAAGGGAAGTTGCCAGGGACCGGAGTCAGTGGGGTTTGGCTAGCTAATTCTCGTGGTTGGCGCTGTCTTGTGTGGACGTGGGGGGGACCCCAGGCGGCCCGGCTGACCCTTCTCTCCCCGTCTCTTCTCTCCCCCTTTTCTCTCTGTTCTAGGAGGTGAATTAGTCTTGCCCATAATAACCGAAGACTCTCTAGACACCCCTCCAATCGCCACGCGCTCTCCTTTTATCCCCCTGCCTCCCACCTTCGGCCCCTTCCTAACCGTAATCGAGACCACCAAAGACACCATCTCCCTCCCGGCTCAGCCGAAGCCCCCCTGCCTGACCGACCAAGACGACGTCGACTGCGAAGAGGGCATCGAGGCCTCGGGGTACGCCTCCGGCGAGGTCTTCGACTCCAGCCTGCCCCCCACCGACGATGAAGATTTTTACACCACCTTCCCCCTGATCACTGATAGGACCCCGATGGGCCGCCCCGATGGAGGAGCCGCCAAAAAGCCCCACGGCTACCGCCCCAACCTTAGGACAGGATTGCCGGCTTCGCCCTCCGGCCCAGACCTCCTGGCCTCTACCACTTCTCCCACCCTGCTCCACCGCATCCCCGCAGGCAAAATGAACAACCGCGAGCCCCTGCGGCCCCACCCCGAACACTTCCCCCCTCTGGCCACCTCCTTCGAGCCGGACAAGCTCAACCGCCCCAAATACCCCGTTATAACCTCTTCCCCCGATTTCCACAATCTGCCCACAGCTAACCCCACCGACCCCGGGGAGAGGGGTCCCCCCGGCGCCGTGGAGGTCATCCGGGAGTCCAGCAGCACCACCGGCATGGTGGTGGGCATTGTCGCGGCCGCCGCCCTCTGCATCCTCATCCTCCTCTACGCCATGTACAAGTACCGCAACCGGGACGAAGGCTCCTACCAGGTGGACCAGAGCCGCAACTACATCAGTAACTCGGCGCAGAGCAACGGCACGGTGGTGAAGGAGAAGACAGCCGCGGCCCCCAAAACGGCCAGTAAAAGCAAGAAAAACAAAGACAAGGAATATTATGTCTGAGGCCCCCCGCCCGTCCTAGACACCCCCCCCCCTCAAAATCCCTGCGTGCACCAGAGAGAGAG